TACATGCACCTGAACTCTATCAAGCCCACATTACTCAGGCACGTGGGTCCATGTGTTCGGACCATAGGTTCAAGCTGACAACTATAGCTGTTGGCTATAATTGTGCTGGGAGTGTTCTGCCCTCCAAGATGGGACTTGCACATGGCAATGAGAGGACTGTGCCCTCTCATGAGGCTTGAACCTGTCCAAACACTGTAGTCACTCTCCACACAAAGAAAAAATCTGATAAACAGAATAAACTGGTGAATGGAATAGAATTGGGCATGGAAATAGAACAGATTGACGATTCTCAGAGGAATGGGGCTTTGGGGGAGGAGGGTGCGGGAAGAGATTAGACAGAGATCTTAAATGCATGTATGCATTACCTATGGACACAGACAATAGGGTGACAGGGGCCTGGGGCGAGGTGGGACCAGATGGAGAAGGTCTATGGCAGGAAAAAATAGGGATATCTGTAATAATCTCAACAATAAAGATTAATTTTTTAAAAAAGGAAGGAAAACAGTATGACTATAGTATATGCTTTAGAGCAGTGGTTCTCAACCTTCTGGCCCTTTAAATGCATTTCCTCATGTTGTGACCCAGCCATAAAATTATTTTCGTGGCTACTTCATAACTGTAATGTTGCTACTGTTATGAGTCGTAATGTAAATATCTGATATGCAGGATGGTCTTAGGCAACCCCTGTGAAAGGGTCATTCAACCGCCAAAGGGGTTGCGACCCACAGGTTTAGAACCGCTGCTTTAGAGTTTTGTAAGGAACTTTAAAACTGGTAGGTAAATACTATGAATATTAAATTTAATATATTGAAAATTCCTTTTATGTGTTGTTACATGTACTATTTTTTTTAATTCATTTTAGAAAGGAAGGGAGAGAGAGAGAAACATCAATGATTAGAGTGCATCATCAATTGGCTGCCTCCTGCACATCCCCTACCCAGGAATGTGCCCCAATCAGAGTCAAACCATGCCTGGTTCCATTATTTGCTGCCTATGTAACATTTTACAAGTTGATGATTCCCTCTGCACCTCCGTTTTCTCATCTGTCAAATGGGGTTGTGAAAAATTAAATAGGCTGATTATGTAAGCATAATACCTGATACATTGTAAATATTCAAATATTTACATAGTAAATTCTCTTGATATGTACTAACCTCTGTATATAAAGTGGAATTAATGACAGTTCAGAACACCTATAGCCAAGATCTACAACCTCTAATAAAAACAACCTTGTGTTTTACCACTTCAAACAGTGTTTTTATTCCTAGAAATGTTTTAAGGTCCTTTTATTCTATTTAACCAGTAGTTTTCACAGACCATATTTTTCAAACAGAATTTTATATGAAACCTCCAATGTGCCAAACAGATAAAAATGAACTATGCTGTTTAGAGCAGATAGGAGATCTAAACCAGGGGTCCTCAAACAATGGCCCGCGGGCCACATGCAAATACAAATATTGTATTTGTTCCCGTTTTGTTTTTTTACTTCAAAATAAGATATGTGCAGTGTGCATAGGAATTTGTTCATAGGTTTTTTTTTTTAACTATAGTCTGGCCCTCCAATGGTCTGAGGGACAGTGAACTGGCCCCCTGTTTAAAAAGTTTGAGGACCCCAGATCTAAACCTTAGCCTACTCAGCCTCTCTCCAGTAACCCCAAGGGACTTTTGCAGGGCTCTCAATTTTTGCACACCACAATTTGAAAAACAGTTTCCCACTAGACCAGCCTTGAGCAAACTACAGCCCGCGGGCCGGATCCAGCCCATTTGAAATGAGTAAAACTAAAAAAAAAGAAAAGACCGTACCATTTTATGTAATGATGTTTACTTTGAATTTATATTAGTTCACACAAACACTCCATCCATGCTTTTGTTCCGGCCCTCCGGTCCAGTTTAAGAACCCATTGTGGCCCTCGAGTCAAAAAGTTTGCCCACCCCTGCACTAGACTATCATCCCATGGTCCTTTGTCAGTATTACTCTATCAGCTTTACTTTCACTGAATCTTTTATCCTTTCGGTATCCTGTTTTTCAAATCTCAAAACCTAGGTAATCACTTTCTTTGATGCTACTTCGTACCAGATGGAATTTAAATTGTTATATTTATTGGCTGGACATTTATAGGAGACATTTTGTTTCCTACTTACTGTGTGCTATTAATTAGGTATTGGAAATTTGCTCTATCAGTTAGTTGTACCAGCTTGCATACTTTACCCTCACCAACAGTGCCCATTTCTCTATAGTTTTCATTAACTGGCTGTTATCAAATGTTTCTGTTTTTGCCAACCTGATGCCTGTGTAATGTCTCTCACTTTAATTTGCATTTTCCTGATTAACAGTATCTAGTGTTTTCATGTTTTTGACCATTTTGTGAATTGCCTATTTTTCTCTTACTTTTAAATTGCGTTGTTTGATTTTTCTTACAAATCTATAGAAGTTCTTAATATACTCTGGACATTAATTCTGTATTGGTTATATACAACACAAAATTTTTTTCCAGTATTTATCTTGCCTTTATATCTCCCACAACTTTGACAGTTCTACCAGAATTGCCTGCCAATCTAGATTCTCCTGGATTTTGCATATAGCCAATCACAAACTGTTATACCTGATAATTTTGCATTCTGTTCCACTCCTTATTCTTTCTGGGGTTTGTTTGTCTGTTTGTTACGGTGGCTATGATCTCTGGAGCGATGTTAAATAGATACTATGCTAGCAGATGCTTAGCCATAGTTTTTGGTAGATACTTGTTATCAAATTAATGTTCTTGTTATCTAAGGATTTCTTTTATAATTTTGAGTAGATGTTGAATTTTAGCAGCAAATGAATTATTCCCTCAAAATTTAAATAGTTTTGGTTTAATAGTTTTGGCTTTAAATAATTTTTGGGGTTTCTATATGTCTTGCTCATTCATAGCCCAGGATACTCCTATTAAAAATAATACTATTGTGAATAGAAAAAAATGTAAATTTTGTTGTTTTTAAATAAGAAACATAAAATTGCAATAGCTATTCAGATGTAAACAATTATAGTTCAGAAAAAAAACAGTTTATGGATATTGAACCTCCAAATATCAATAACAATCATATACAAAGCAAAAGGGAGAGGTATATATGGTAGTATGGCCATAAAACTTTCCCTAAACTAAGGTGGTCTGATAAGAATCAATTATTGGCCTTTAATAATTATTGTAATATTTTAATATTTTCAACTATTATCTGTAAATCTCATGTTTAAAATATGTAAGATAATTGGATCATAGAAAACTGAAATTTTTATTTTCCTTTTTCTAAAACAGAATACAATACTTTCTTTACGTATATACTAGAGGCCCAGTGCATGAAATTTGTGCACGGGGGCGGGGGGGTGCATCCCTCAGCCAGCCTGCTCCCTCTCGCAGTCTGGGACCCCTCGCTCCTTAAAGCTCGGCTGACTGCTCCTTTGTGCTGCTGCAGCTGCACTCACCAACCATGAGCCTGGCTTCTGGTTGAGCAGCGCTCCCCCTGTGGGAGCACACTAACCACCAGCAGGCAGCTCCTGCGTTGAGCTTCTGCCCCCTGTGGTCAGTGCGCATCATAGCAACTGGTTCTGGTCACTCTGCTGTAAT